CATTATGCATGCAGACTTGCAAAGAACAGAGACTCACCAGTAAAGAAACAAAGGCGAAAACACTAACGACATAGAAGGAGCTGAAGAAAGAGTCAGCAATGACAGCCCCGGCAACGGGAAAGAGACTGTAGCAACCAATTATGATATTATTGATTTGAGTAGCATTAATGCTCTTTATGTTCATTACAGTTACCAAAAATACTATCAAATTCGCTGACCCCCCTCCGGCTGCTAGTGTAAGACCCACCACAGCTCCTGTATACACATGCTAAAAAATTAGAAATATTGCAATATCAGTCAATATAACGTTTAAACAGCATAATTAAATTTAACTAAGAACAAGAGTTGGGAAAAATACTGAACCAAAAGAGATTAAAGAAAGGAAAGATTCACCTATAATGAAAGGGAAGGTAGTCCATCCTCCTCGTTTGCTGTGCTTCATTGATGGTGCTTGGTCACTTGGAATGGAGGTGGTTTGCAAGGATTCCATTCTCTTTTTTTCTCAAGGCAGTCTCGGAACAGGGCTATAGTTATGCTGGTGAGTGTATATGCTGTGCTGTTGGTGGTGGGGTGACATCTACTTGGTTTTATACTGGCGTGAAGCTCACAATTATGACCAAAATAATTATTGAAATTGACAATTATTTGAGTCATGAATTAGTCACTTCTCTCCCCATCTCTTTTTTTTCTAAGAAGGTAATTCTTCTGTAATTAATATAATTTCGATTTATTGGAAGTGCCGCGTACGTAAGACAGATTGATAATTAATGTGTACATGATGGGGTATTAGATAAAGGAAATTATTATTTTTAAGTCAAGGTTTTCACAAGTATCTATAGATAATCTTGAATGATACTACTACCCCACTGCCACTTATTTAATGTATAAATTGACAACAAATACAGGCGACAGCAAATGTAGGCCGAGGAAAGAGTACTGCTACACTTATTTAATAATACACAAACTAAAAAAAAGGGTATGCAAACTGAAGAAATAATAATGCACAAACCAAAAAAAAAAAAAAAAGAGTATACGGATTGAAGTAACTGTTATAATCTAAAATTGCATGAGTATGAATAAACAGTAATTTCACCGCATAATTTAGTTTATTTGCTAACACAAAGAAATAAAAAGGGTATATAGGCTGAAATAATTGTTATAATTTATAGGTGGACGAGTCTGAATAAACAGTAATTTCACAATATAATTTAGTTTCTTTGTTAATGCGTGGGTTAATTGATTGATTGATTGATTCCATTTATATCAAGAGTGGAGTTAGTGCACCCGAGACTTTCAGTTGGATAGCCACCTGCTTCAATCTAGTATTTTGACGGGGTTTCACAAGCATATGAACCAATCACACATGGTGGAGGACTGGAGGTCTCAAGGAATGGATTGAAGATGCAAGGGTTAACATGATGCCACCCTGAAAATTTTAGTAAAATTTTGGAGTGGCATCTTCTACTTTATAAATTTTTTTTTATTAATATAAATATACAAGCTAACCTTATATATCTTAGTGATTCTAAAATATATAAAACTCAAATTAGTGATTTATAAAAAACAAACTAAAAATCTAACCAATAAAATATTCCTTAAAGTTAATTATAGAATTAATTAATAAGAGTTTATAACTTTTTTTATTAATTAACCAGATTATGTAATTTGCAGATAACAATAATGTTGGTTAATTAAAAACTTACTTATTTTGGAATCTTACGTTAAAAAAAAAAAAAAAAAGAACACAGATAAAGAGAGAAACAATACCGACTTCAATCATATTCATACTTTTTGAAAACCACTCTTTTCATTTTGATTAGTGTTGAAAACAAATTGTTGGATTTATATATTTGGGAAATAAAAAAAAAAAAGATTTTTATTTTGTCTTTAAATTTTTGAAAACATAAAACGAAAATAATAGCGAAGGACTCCTAAAACTCATCACTAACGAAACAAAGAAAAAGACAGTGATGACAGCGAAGGAGCTGAAAACAGTCTGCAATCATGGCTCCAGCATCTTATAATAATAACCAATAATATTTACTTTTTGTACAACTTTTTTTTTAATAATAATCGAGATATTATTGATGGAACCAGTTTACCATTAAAGCTATGATAAATTATAATTCAAAAGATCAAGAGATCTATATATATATATATATATATATAAAGCATTGACAAGCTTCTAAACCCACGATACTTCACTTATTAGTTCATGATAAAATATTGTCAGGCCTCTAATTAAATCATTTCCAGTGGATGCAAAGTTATTGTTCCAAACCTTCAACTAAAGCGTAAGACGGTGGAGAATAAGTTGAAAGTACTGTGTATTCAAATCCAACATCTTATCGTCAAAGATCAGCTTGTTCCTTGCAGTCCAAATACTCCATGAAATGTCATACGATAGCATCATTAAGGCATTTTGCTGGAACCTGCTTTTTGCCATATCCCGCCATTAGCTAATAATTTGATCTATTCTACTCAGCATGCACCTAGAAATACCAAACTGGTTCTGAAATTATTGCAACAATCTCCATGTGTGGTAGTAATGGAGAAAAGGATGATTATCATGTTCATGAAAGAGGGACATATTGCTTAGCTAGGATGTGTCAAATGATGGCGAGTTAGGAAGGCTCTAGTACACACTCTGCCATGCAGTAGCAGCCATATGAACATTTCAATCTTGGGGAAAATCCTTTTCACAAGAGGCATGGGTAAGGAAAGTTTCCTGGATAAAAAAAGTTACCAATTAATTCACTCTTGGACTTGATAGTATAAGCATTAGTTGCTTCTCCTCCCCCACATTCTTGTATTAGCTTTGTTTTCATGCAGAGTTATATCTGCTAGCAATTGAGTCATACTCTGCTATTACTTCTCTTTCGATGGCTGTAAGTATCTTTTCCAGTGTAGCTTTCACTGCCAATAAGTTGAGACGTACTCCATTATATATAGCGAACATGGTGAAGATGTTGTGAACAAGAAAAATATGTGTGGATAGAGATCTTTTAACATCCCACCATATAACCATTTATTTGTCCAGAAGTGGATGTGCTTGCCATTACCAACTCGAAACCAATAATTGTTCTTGAAAGTCTGTTCAACTACAGTGCTGATGAGAGAATTTATGAATTGCCATGTTTTTGAAAAAGAGAATTTATGAAGTGGATAGAGATCTTTCATGTGCTTCCTATTGCGTTTTGATAGTGGAATGTGAAGGATCCACAAGTTTTATACGTTATCATAAATCTTTCTTTATAATTCTAATTATTTTCAACTTATTTATATAGTTTTTGTTATTCTTTAGTCTATTTTTTTAATTAGATATCTTCATGTAAATTGATAGAAATATATTTTTAACTGAGAAATCAAAACCCACTTAATCTGTTAAAAAACAAATCTGAAAAAAAAAACACAATGTTAAAATTTATTTATTTTCGTAAATAATTCTTTTCAGCATATCAGGTTAGCGGAAATCAAATGTACAGCGAAATCACTATTAACAGGCAGAGATAAAATGAAGGGATCGAACTCGAAAGAAAATCTTACAGCAGGTGCCAACTTATGCTGTGCAAACCTTTCAAGGACATTGCATCTCTAGACATTGATTTGATACTATGATGATAAGATAAGAATTCGGGGAAGATAAGAAAAGAAGAAGAACAGAGGTTTTGAAGAATGTTTGTTATTAAACGCATAAAAACTTCAATACAGAAAACATGAACCTAAATAGATCAAAACATTATAACAATAATCTAAAATAATAGGGACTCCAGTAGTGGAGCAGAAGACTAGAAATGCTTTCTTCAACAACTCTTTTTATTCATATTAATTTATTAATTGATTAATTCAATAAAACAAAAGTCACCCAAGTAAGCCATGTAGAAGAGATGTCTTATCTTATGATATTGAGAACAAATTAAATCCTGACGTCTTGAACAGACCAAGAACAGATAAACACTAATCGAGCCATCTGCCGGGTTTCCTGTTTTGCAGAAATATTTCCTGTGATATGCGCTGCAAATAGGAAAAAGAAATCATCGTAGCCAAAGTGCACTGAAGCCAACTCTCTACCACTAGCACCAAGGGTGCAATGAAAACGACTTCCAATAAAAAAAAGAAAACAAATGTCGAACGTGTTGATAGAAAATGCATCAAAGAGGAGATGGTGGTGGTAATTTTGTGGGCTGAAAATGTCAGAAAAATACTTTACAATAAACTTTAATTAGTTAATATTTTTTAAATAAATATACTAGGTTTATAGATTAAATCTAAAATATTTTATAAGCTCATGGGGAGTATATTCGCATTTGATGAAGTTGGTGAACATACTCCTGAAGAAAATAATCTTTACATGAAAATAAAAGAATTTAAAATAATTAATAAAAAATTATAGAATTTAAAATGATTCTACTTTATGGTCAGATGAACGAACCAACCAACAGGGACTCCAAAACAATAACACACTGGGACTAAAGGATTTGTTCCCTCTGTGGTCTCAGGTTCAAGTTTTTGGTTGCTCATATGATGGCTACTGGAGGCTTATATGGTCATTAATTTCAGAGCCCGTGGGATTAATCGTGGTGCACGCAAGCTGGCCCGGACACCCACGTTAATTTAAAAAAAAAAAACAATAACACACTTACTAGCATTTGTTTATATAATAATTAAAATATGTTATTATTTATCTAGAGCCATTAAACTAATTAATAACAAACGAATAATGAAACCGAAACAGATGTTCAAGTTCATATTAACCAGCTAACATTTTCTATTTTTCATCAATGAATAACTGGCCAAGATCTATTTCAAAAATAAATAAAAAAATACAACGAATTATATCCACGATGATAAACACTATTGATGGTAGTAAAACTAATGAAGGTTAACTATGGTATTAATTGGTGCTGGGAAAAGTGACCAATATATAATCAAATTCATAACTTTTTTTCTTTATTTATGCAATTAAAAATAGGATTACTTTTTTATATGTTGGTTCACACTTTGAAAATAAGCCGAGTATAAACTTTTTTATATTTTTTATACCTAATCACTTATATAACCTGAAAAGTTTTAAATCATTATCGCTATTGTTCTTAGTTTATATGGGTTATAATTCAAAAAAACAGGAGGAGCTGACAGTGGAGTAATGAGTTTTAAATCATTGACACCTGTCCATGGTTAGCACAATGCCGGGAGACCAGTGGCAAGATTTTGATTAGAGTGTTGAAATCTTCCATTTCCTCCACCGTACATAGCCACCAAGATCTTGCATTCGATCTATCCGTTAATCTGTCTCCTTCAATTTTTAGGGCTGCACGGTTCAAAAATCTGCGCAGAAATCATCCAGTCTTAGCAGTGATATACCAGTGCCTTAATTCCATGATCATTACCAGAGTTAGGAAGGAGGACTCCAACATTGGAATTTATGCAAATTAACGAAATAATCAAAATAATCGTACTGGCAATGTCTTTCATATGTAGTTTTAAAAGCTAGCTTGATTTAGTAAATTAAATTGAAATTCGACCGCTTCAAGATTGAAACTAAAATTTTTTTTTTAAAAAAAAGAAAAATTAGTGTGATATGATGAGTTAATCCAATAACTTGACAAAACTTAGTAAAAATTCGGTTATAATTTATTAATTTTTATTTTTGTACTAAAACCATGTTGTTGTTTTTTAAAAAAATCAATCATCATGACCCAATTAAAATATAAAATCTAAACCTTAAACTGGATTAAGTATGAAAACTATGCTTTCCATGACCATCACATGCCACACAATCCATGCATTTAAGTCTATGATAAATTAGAAATTGATATTCATATGCTAATAATAATTTGTTCAACATAGATGGTTCCACAGAGCACTAGAGAGTTGAGTTATAACGTACCTGAAAGTTTCAGTTGGACAACTGGCGGACCTATTAATATCTCCATGATAATAATCCTGTCTTTGAAAACTTTCCAGCAGTCATCTTTTTCAAATTGCTTTTTTTTTTTATAATCATTGAAAATATATTGAAAATGTTATTAAATTAAAAGCCAAAATAAAATAAGTAACGAGATTAAAAAAAAAAAACCAATCTGCTATAAAAAAACAAAAAAATTATTTAAAATTTTTTATTACATCACAATTTATGTCATTAAAAGTTTGTAAGAGGTTATTTTTTTTATAAATGAAGTTTAAATTTAAAATATAGAACCAAATAACAACTTGATTAAAAATAGTGGAAAAACAGTCCATCAAACTTCTTTACCGAATAGCTGCAGCTAATACACGAGTAATGCTTACGCAAGGACTTTCCCTGGGGATTAGAATGCCGATAAAACCATTTTCCCAACAAAAACACTGCTAAGCCAACGGCATTGGAAATGACACAGATGCCAAACCCTAATCCCCAGCTAGCACTATCCTGAATTTAGATGATCGTAGTGAAGCTCATGGCACTGGCGAGATATAACGCAAAGAAATACCAGCTGAAGAATGTTCCTTGGTCATTTGGCTGATCAAATTGATCTGCTCCCGTGCATTGTTGCAATTGTGAAGCGTGTGCCTCCACGCCCTAGTGAGGAAAGTGCTAGCTAGTGCCACACAGAGAAATGCATATTGAAGCTGTGATGGGGTTTCACAGGCATGCGAACCAAAAGCACATTGTACGGGTCTTAAGGAATGGATTGTTGGTGCTAAAGATAACATGGTCACGCCCTGAAAAGCTAAATAATATGATTGAATGACTTTACTGACTACACTCAAAGTTGTAATTAAGAATGTTCAAAGCTTCATGTACGTATTTGAAATCAAGTAATGGTGGATTTCAAGAATTTAAGAGAGTTAAAGGATGATAATATATGAAATTTAAGAGAATTAGAGTTAAAGGATGATAATATATGAAATTAATCTGGTGATATTTGTTGATTTATGGTGGAAAAACATATATAAATCCCTCCTCACTCGTAAAGAAATCATGAGCTTAATTAAAACACAAGGTAAAAGGAGCTGTTCATCTATTAATAGCTCAACTGATAGTCGCTTTAACTTTTTTTTTTAGCTGGATATATTGCTTTTCTGACAATCCTCAAGTTTATTCTCGATCCCACAAAGAACACTATCGTTTTCTCTTTTGCTCCGAAATACATTTTCTTAAAAAAATTTATTGCAAAATCAAAACATAAAATCCTGAATTGAGTCACTGAAAATATCAATTTTCTCAATCGGGTCCTTAATGCATCATACATTTCTAAATCAAGCCTCCTGCTTAACATCTTTCCATTTTTCACCGAAAAGGTTATATTTTACCCAAAAATGCCTTTTCTATAGCATAATGTATGTAATCTAGATCGAGCTATCAACAGATATAGACAAAGGAATAGTTTGGTGACCCAATTGAGGAGACAGATAACTCGGGGACCTAGTTGAGATTTTGTAGATAGCTGGGAGGAAACTGATATGCGGTTTGCTCCATTTTGAAAGGCGGCAATATTGTGCAGACATGGAAAAACCTGCAACTCACCAGTAAAGAAACAAAGGCATAAACAGTAATGACAGAATAAGAAATCATACCTCCTGCTTGCATGCATACTTGCTCAGAATAAGAAATCATAGTTCCATGCCATCAAAATTTGAAAACATTTAACCAAACAAGATTATTTTGGCGGAAAAAAGAGAGAGAAGTAATTAAATAAATCCACCAAATTGTTAGAAAGAACGGTACTGATTATAGGATAGAATGTACCTATAACAAAAGGAAAGGCCGTCCACCCCCCTCGTTTACTCATTGCTGATGATGGTGTTTGTCCATCTTCAATGGAGGTGGTTGCTACGCATTCCATTATCTTTCTCACGGAATCCCCTATGCTAATTGCTATGCAGATTGGGGTTGCCATGTGCCCATTATTTATATCCATATAAATCATCACCGCCATAGTTATATCTTAATGATATTTAAATATTATTATATGAATATTTGTAATATAATAATATGTTATTGAGATTATTATTTTTTTAATTAATTTTTATAATTTTTATAATTAAATACAATACTTCATTATAATATTTCAAGTTTATATAAACTTGTTACTACATTAGGAATAAATATACAAAAAAAAAAACTTGATTTTCTTTTTTTGTGTCTTTTCTTATTTTTTTTTAAGATTTAAAGGGTTTAATTATATACTAAAAGTGTTATCATTGTATGAAATAAATAAATATTTTAAAAATAATATCTTCACCATCTTTAAACTCATTCTTTATTGATTTCTATTCAGTTTCTTCAACAATATCAAAATAAATTAGTGCCACAAATATTTTGTTTGTCGTAGTAAAGTATAACCACACACTCCAGTTACTTGAGCGATGTGAGGTGATGTCACAACAATTGTGAGTTTTAACATTAATAAATATATAGCATTAATAAATGTAACATTTTAAATAAAGAAAGTGAAAAATATTTTTATTTTTTATTTTGAAAGGACAGTAATATTATATATCATCATCAATTTGCTTATTAAAGAGAACACTAAACACAGCGAGACAACCACAATCAAAGGCCTGCAATAAAAGCTCTCGAGATTAATTGAAAAGCGAGGCCTACTTCATATTAAATAAGCAGCACAGGCCAATAATTCTGCAAGGGAACAGATTCTTTTTCTATAAGGTGCAGGTGATCAGGGTACGGCAGCTTATTCTTCAGTTTCTTATATTCGTCGATCCATTAACTTCTAAAATCTTGCAGGGAATTAGATGCCTCAATCACTCCAAAAGCAGCGTTAGTTTTAATTTATTTTTAAATATTTTAATTTATTAAAAATAAACTCATTTTAAGGGTTTCTTTTAATTTAAAACAATGCACTTTTGCAGCCATGGAGGAAAAATTGTTGTGAAATCTCTGGTGGCTTTACCTGACACATGAAAAGGGCATATACATTGGATATTTGAAACCAAGGCTAAGCCTTTATGGCTCCACGAAAAGCCAAAAACTCGGTTAACATATACAATCCAAATTTTATTTACAAGTTGGAAAGAAACAAAATCGAAGGTTATATGAAAGGAAAAATCACAGCAAGTGCCACCTTCATCTGTGTATCACTAGACATCAATACTACAATGATTAGAGGAATTTAAATCCTGATCTCTGAACAAGATCGAAAACGGATATAATGATTTCGACGCTAATCAACACAATGATGAGCCATTCCAAAAAATCTGATTTCCTGTTTTGTAGAATTTCTTGAAGAAAGCGAATATTATGCTGCAAAGACAAGGAAAGACATCACAGTAACACTGTAGTTAAAGTCAGCTTTCTAGCACTAGCAGCAATAGTGCAATCACATTAATTTCTAACACAAATGCAGTACCTCAACAAACTTCAGCTTAAAATCAAGACTCGCAAATCTCTGAGTTAATTCAAATTCATCTCTGAGATATTCCCATATCTGAGCATATTTGGCATCTTTCCAAGCTATGTCTGATCTGTTGAAACCAATGACGTATTTTTTTGGAGTTTTAGTAAAACTCATAACAAATGAAACAGAAAAAACAGAGTGAGAAAGAGACCGAATTTGCTAACCCTGGTTCAATTAGAAATTAACAATAGGATTAGAACCTTTCTAATTTATTTCCATTTTCAGGTGGCTAAAAATGTCTCCCGAACTTGGGAACGTCTGGTCTAGCGATGCAAGCAGAGCCATTACCCACTATGCGTCAGGCACCCAGAAAGACAGAAGTAGGTGGTTGGCCCCAGTAGCAGCATGCGTAGAGACAAAACAACAACTACAGCACAATAAACAGCAAATGACTGCAGCTTCTGAAGTCTCTGGCCCTCGTTCCCTTTCTTCTTACTATCCATCTTACCACTTATGGTATAGCCTATCCTCAACGACCCCCGATCACATCTTCTCCTAGAAGGACCTTATAGTGTGGGGCCTCTACCAGTCCAACCAAGATTGGATTGGGCCAGGAGGTTCTTGAGCTAGTTGAAAATTTTTTGGCATTCAGGATGCATTTGGTTTCCAGAAAAAAGTTGGGGAGGCGAGGGGGGAGGAGCTTCACCTTGTAGTCTAAATGACATCTTTCTATCTTTTACACATCTACATTCTGTGAACTTCCATTTGATATTGGTCAATTAGCACCATCATATATATATATATAAAAGAGGGTAATGAAAGAGAAGAGATATCGTTTTATGCTTTATTTGGATGTGCAAATACAACAAGAAATAGATGCTAAGAGCATGGCTTTCTTCACATATCCAAGCAAACAAAAACTTTTCATTTTAATTTCTTTCTTGATTTTTCTTTCCCTAAACCTTAATATCAAATTAAATTGGAATCAGCAACAGAAATTAATTTAGTTCACTCTGCTCTATCTAGTCTATTAACTAAGAATAGGAGCAATAAAATAGCCACAATTAAAATGAAGCAAAATTAAACAGTTCCCCTTGCAATGGCCATTAAAACCCTTACCTCTCAAAAAGCCCAAGCTTTAGAATCACATCAGCAAGATTAGAATTGGCCTTCCCCACTATTTGAAAAAGCTTTTTGCTGTCCATAGAAAATGTTCCAGTTTTTTCCATCCCACGATTTATGTCAGTAAATTCAGCAACCATTCCATCAACCTAGAGAAGAAGAAAAGGTTAAAAAACATAGTCATGAACCTTACACATGTAACACTTAAAGAATATCATGGTTCAAACCTGGCGTCCATAGTAGTCAAGAGCTATACTTTGACCAAGAACACTACCAATTGTCCGTATTCCATCAGTGTTCAAGAACTGCAACATAATGTAATCCAATCCACCTTGCATCCATGTGTTTAGAGTTGGCTTCTCTCTCACCTCATACTCTTGCAGTTGTGAAAATAGAATAAAGTTCAATAAATGGCAAAACGGTAGAGCATGATAGATTAATAGCATGAGAGAGAAGGTAAAAATAAACTAAAGAGACCACAAAATCAGATGCATAAAGAACTGCTCTCCATGGTATAAAGTCAATATATAGTATCCAATGAATAATCAATGCCAACATTTCCACCAACAAAGCATCTCTTCAATAAGCTAATTGTGCATCTCTTCTGTTCTTGAATAAGTAGATTTCAATGACAATTAACTCATTTCTTTTTGCATCCCCATTGACGCATTAATCAACATTTTTCACAAATTTTACAAGCAGAAGCCCTTGCCTTCATATTTTTCATTACTTAATGCCCGCTGCTGGATAATTACCTTTAGCAATAATCTCATTTAATAACCCAAAAAATCCCCTATCTTGCTTCAATCAAACAGGCAATACCAGAATAGCTATTAATGATGCTATGCAATTTATGCGACCAGATGTACAAACAGCATGCATGTGATTAGCCGCTTCAACGGGATCTTTTATCCTGGTTCAAAAAGAAAAAATAACTTTCTTCTATATATTACATGCTCGAACTGCCATATCATCACCATCATGAGAAAATGAAAAAATATACTTATGGTGCTTCAGCTACCTTGATTAAATTATCTCAGATTTTGGAGCAATCTCTAAAAGGTAGAGGTGTAACATTGTGATTTTGAAAATCAAAATAAAAACAGTAAGAGAGCTTACCATCCTTCCTCATTTCAGGGAGCAATCCTGAGGCATGCTTCCTTACAAGATTCAGATATTCATCAACCTCGTGTTCACGGACATTAAACAAAACGATGGATCCATATTGGAACACTACCATGTAACAGCAATTACTTCCACTTATGCAAGAGCCCAGACCCTGAAAACAACTTAAAATCACCTTCAGCAATACCTTCAAACTGATTTATCATTAAAGAGAAGCATATGGGTTACTCATACTATGATTAACAAGAGAATAGATTTAATTGCACAGTAAATTGCACCTATCCTCTATAGAATGCAAGGGAAAAACAGTAGACTTCACTTTGATAACAGCAACTTCACCGAGACCAAAAAAATCCATGATTAATTCAAAACATAAAAAAAGCGCAATTTAAGCATAAACACGTTGACATCGACTTCACATTGTTCATTTCACAATAAGATCAACCTTTACGGATTTGATACGGTAAAAGAAGCAAGACCCCACTCTACTCCCATAATCCTCTAACTGATTCCAGTAAAACAGGCAACTTCAATGAATGTGACGGCACTTACAGGGGCTTGAGAGAGGTTCCCAAACTTAAGAACAACATAATTTGTCATTCGCGATGTTGGTGGTATAAAATTTTTCTTGTTCTGCTCCACTAAGCTTTTCAAATCCACACTACAGCAAAAACAATAATAATTAGCCGTTAAGTTTAATTTAGAACTGCAGAGAATAAAGAAAGAAAAAGATATCGAAGTAACAAAACTAAAACCTAGTAGAGAATAAAAAAGCGCGAACAGGAATGGACTGCCGAGCGTCCTCCTCGATATTCGTGCCTTTACCACCATCACCGAGCTCCGAACACGTCACCGGCTCATTCCAGCCCACAGCCGTGTGCTGCTGATTTGGAGCGGCGGAGGATGAAATTGAAGAAATGCACCTCACAGGCACCAAATTACGACCGCGGCTGAAAGCAACACTATTAATGCAGCGTGTTGTGAAAGCGAGAATTGGAGAGGGGGGATAGGGGGTTGATGAGGAGTTAGTTAGGGTTTTGGAGAGAGAGAAAACATGGAGAGAGTTTGGTGGTTTAAAAGAAGTGAGGGAGGGAGGGTTTGGGTGGTGAGAGCGGAGGACAGTACGGACAGGTAAGCGGACAGTTTTCAAGTGAGCATCAATGGTCCGCCACATTATTTGGGGTGGGGGAAGAAGAAGGGAGGAGAAGAGGGATAGAGCTTGGGTTCTGAGGGTCCATCTTTGAAGATTGGTCTGTTTTGTAAAACAAATATTATGTGGATAGAAAAATGGTACTTCCATTTTTAACATTCACAGAAAAGAAGTTCCTTGTGAAAGTGATTTTACCATTTTTGACATGGTTACTAGACTGTTGTTTTCTGACAGTTAAAAAATATATTTTATTGATAGGAAAACGTCGTTTTTTTTAACAATCAAAGAAAAATAAAAATAAAAATAAAAAACCTTTTTCGAGTGATTTTGTTATTTTTTACACAGTTATTAGACTCCACTTTGAATGACTTGAAAAAAAGTTTATATTGGATAAGCTAGTGAGTTACTGTATCAATTTTAATTAATTTAAGTTAATTATTTTTATTAAAATAATTTTTTAAAAAAATTATTAAACAAAGCATGAATAGGTTTGATTAGATAAATCAGATTACTAGAAACTTAGTTAACTGAGTTTTATTATATTAATATTTTTTAAAATTTAATTTAAAACTTAGTTCAAGTTGGATTTTAAATAAAAAATTTATTATTATAATTTATTATATTCGATTGAGATTATAAAGTGTAAGAGAATAATATAAATTATATCTTAAAATCTCATTTAATATTTTAGATTTTTAAGTTAAATTAGTTTTTAATATGGTATTAAAGTTTTGATAATCAAGTAATTACGAATTTAAATTTTATTATTTTTCTCATTAATTATAAATTTAAATTTTATTATTTTTCTCGTAAAAAAACTAAAAACAAATCTAATATAAAGATATGATTGTCTATTGTCTAGTATTTGAACGTGATATAAAAATGAGAGTGATGCTTGAGAATTTCATGGAATCAAATAATTTTCAATCTAATTCTATACATTTCACAAAAGAAATGCTGCAAAAAAATTTATAACAAGAATAGTGTTATGGATACAATATCTTTTTTCTTTTATTAATTAATGTGATAGTGAAATAAAAACAAAAATTAATCTGTCGTACTATTATAATTAGTAAGATACATGCAACCTTTCTATTTATTTTGGCGAGTGCCAAGTACCAGCATGAAACAAGAATTAGTGTCTTTGACTTTAGTCTGAGGTAAATTAATAGCAAAGGGAGAACGACATGCGTTTTTTACCAGCTTCTGCCCTCTGACAGACTACACTCTCTATCCTGGACAAGAAGAAACATCCAAGTAGTGATAATGAACTTATTATCTTTCTCAAATGTCATTGAAATAAAGAGAACTGGGTATGTTGTTGTAGAAAACGTTTTTCTGAAAGCTTAAACTACTGATAGTTACATGCAGTTGTAAAATATTTTATCATCAGTTCTTCGCTGGTTCTTTTGTTATATTTCTGTGCATATACATTAGCTTACAGATATTTTGTCCACCGACTGATATTTGAAAACGTTGCTGCAACCTGAGCAATTTGAAAGCATTGCTTTGCAGGGCTACAGCCTTTAATGGTGTAAATTCGAGTCCGAGAGCGACCACTTCATTGACAAATGACGAGGATTCGGAATCCTCAATGATTTCTCTTGATGCAGCTGAACAGATTATTAGCATATCTATGCTTCCTGTTATATTACAAATCAAAATAGTATCAACTCCAGACTACAATTGATTCAGTTTTCTTGCTTGCTTAATTTAGCACAATGGCAAATGCACTCAAGGTGTTAACGTTAATTAGCTCGTATAAGAGTAGTACAACGAGGGGTTGGTGGCAGATGTGGTGAAGGCAGCAAGTCGCGGGTTGTTGTTGGCGAAATGGTTCTGTTGGTTGAATGGAAGAGTAGCTGAAGGAACAGTTTTGGTCGAAGAAGAGAATCCTGATGATGCTGCAACACAGAGCTGAGGCATTGTAGCAACAACATTGTTGCTGCCATTTATCTGCCATGGCCAGCTTGAGAATCTCGGTGAAGAAACTGCTTCAAACCTCTTCTCCGGAGCCCTTTCCTGCAGCATATGATCAATCAATACTAGTACAAAAACTAATGCGAAAAATATCAGCACCGACAGTTAATTTTAAAACATTTCTTTCAATTGAAGATGACATGTAAATGAGCAGAATCCCTATAGACATTACATGTTTTGGAGATTGGAAAAGAAGCACCTAGTTACAATGTGTCACATCTGGCATGACACTACTTCCTAAAATTATGTCCTCAAATATCATAAAGGATAAACGATGGCATTTCAATGTTTAGATTAACAAAACAATGGTCGTTGCCATAACACCCAGGTGAGTATTTGATATGGTAGTGCGCAATGTATTTTTAACTTGAAAATACATCAAAATATTTTGTTTTATTTATTTTTAACATCAGCACATCAAAATTATCAGAAAACACTAAAAAAACACTAATTTTATACTTTTTCATGTCAAACACACTTTTAAAACGCCCTCAAACATAATTTGGAATGCATAAACAAACAGCTGTTTAATTCAAAAGCAGTTTCATCGTTCAAATATCCAGGCCAAGATGGTTTTTTCAGATGCTACGTTTTATGGAACAGTTTTTCTGCTGTTGTATGAAAGTTATTCTTGGAAGCTAAATCATCTGTAAACGAGGAAGGGAAAATAAATAGAACGGAACTACCTCATAGCTTGATGATAAACCAGGGAACATGCCAGACCATGTCGGAAGGTTCCTTGATGCTATTGGTAGACCATGAAGCGTCTCTAAACCCATATGTGCAGCAGCAGTGCCCTCAGCCTTTTATAACACAATGGGGTATCAATTACCAACAGCTATATTTACAAACATTTTGAGAAGAGAACGGGATAAAACCAGCCACATGTATTAACATATGCCCAAAGAATGAAAAGAGAGACGAGAATAAGTTTTACTGTGAACATGGTAAAAAACAAAAAAAACAAAAAAAAATACCAAGTTTCGGGCATCTTAGAAAGAATAATACCGCTTGTCTCTCTTTGATGGGCATTTCACAACCACCATAACTACAATGGCCATCTCCCAAATTGTCGTTCCCTTTAGGATCATTCGTTGGCTGAGAAATTCCAAGGCTCAAATCAAGATTGTGGCCACTTCCTGCATTCATATGAACAGAAAATGTTATATTAATAATCAACAAGGAAAAACCTCCGTCCTTTTACAGTATCATAATAGTCTATTTGTACCTCCATAATTCGTATCGAAAACTGTATCTCTTTTATAAACGCTAGGCTCAAAATTGGTTACTGCTTCCCTTCCATTGCAGTTGAGGGCTGCCTTGTCATAAGCCCTGGATGATAAGAAAATGAAGGTGGCATTATGTGTTAGCGTTTAAAAATTATCCAGATACGAGTAACAATTAGAATCAAAGAGATCAAATTCAAGATCATAAGGACCTTGCAGCTTCTACTTCGCTGTCGAATAATCCAAGATAAATATACCTGATAATCAGAGAAAGTGTTGCCTGAGCATTCTTCTCTTTGAAATAGACATCTTAAATCTTGTTTCTTGATTATTAAGTTTTTTAGAATCCAACTGAAGTATACAACAATGCTTATCGAGTTTTGAACAATTACATGTCCTAACATCATTTCACAATAGCAATTTTTTAAAATTTTTCATCATTTCACAATAGCAATTTTTTAAAAAAAATTTTCAGTTTAAGGGTTCTCACTTCTTTCCAAGGAATTGCCCCATTCGAGCTTCCCATCTGCCACATCTGTGAAGAGTCACACCTCTGTATTTTGAGCTGCCTCGTGAGAAACCGGTACTTTGGCGACGAAGGATGTGAACAAATTCTTCTTTATTAAGGTTTTTCATCTGCATATCAACCAATATTGCAATTAATATCCACACCAACCCCCTCACCCAACCAAAAAGAAGAAAAAAGATAACAATTTATGATTAAACAGAATCCCCACCTGCTTCATATCTTCTTCATAATCGCTTAGATTAAAGTTGATATCTGCATCAACTCCCCGAAACTTAATTGCTGCTCGATCGTACGCCCTGAACAAATAAGATCCAAATTCAGGAAAAAAAAAACAACTCCATTTAAAGCAGGAACATGGAACAAATTAGGTAAACTTTCTAATTTACTCAAGACAGGAATTCTTCGAATCATAAGAGAGGAAAAATAACAAAATTCCTACCTTGCAGCAGTATGAGCAGTGTCAAACCCACCTGTTTACGATAAAAAGACGAATTGTTTATGAATTGTCTTCATGAATACATCATAAATTCAAGATCGCATCCAAAATTAATATCTTGCCGGAAATTTCAGTCACTCTATGAGATCATCCATTTACTTACCTAAATATACTTGCTTCCCACAATCCCTGCGCCAATAAAAAAAAAAAAAATCAAGATCATTGAATAAAATAACCAGGCAACTCTCTTCAACACACGCATAAGAAAAAAGGAAAGAAAGAAAGAAAACAATTTAACCAATTTGGGAAGGCAACAAATCTCATTAGCAAATTCATGCACACTCACCAGATATGTGACTCCCATCTCCCAGTTCTCCTATAAAACGTCACTCCTCTATACTGTGAGCTTCTAGACCTTGGTCCTCTCCTACTCTTCCTTTGCTGCTGTTTTTGCTGCACAATTGTCAGTTCTGCCTCCCCACTAGACCCCATCTGTGAAAGCTTCAACCACTGTGGTCTTGTAGCTGTTGTTACAGCCAAGCCCGGTTGCAAATTCAATTCCAGCCCACTTCTTTGAGGAGAAAGTTGTTGGGTAGTGAAATCACAGTTTGGGTTTGTCTGCTTTGAAGCATCAATGGTGGTAGTGCTGGTAAAATTTTCATCTTTCTTCAAGATATCAAAAATGAAAGCAGAGTTACTGTTGTTTGAGGAGTTTTCATCTTCTGTAGTGTTGATATTGGAGGAGTTCGAAGCAGCTGAATCTTCCATTTGACGAGTCCTCGAAGCTTCTTCTTCTTCTTGGTGATGGTGGTTCTCGACATCAACAACTACCATCATACTATTCTTGTTGTTATCATCACAAGATGAATCACTATAGGTTATACCAAGATTGAGATCCAACATGATGCTCTTTTCTTCAGCTTATGTTATGGTTCTTACTTGTTAGTA